TCTCAAAGAATATTGTTACATTTATTCCTAAGGGCATAAACGCAAACAATCTCCCACTTGCACTTAAATGAGTAAATGTGACATGCTACACATCCCCATATCCTCGACATGCTTCTCGAAGACCTTAGCCGGCAGGGCCTTCGTGAACGGGTCAGCCATATTGTCCTCCGACGCGATCTTGCATATTTCCACATGCCCTTCTTCAATAAAGCTTCTTATCACGTGATACTTCCTATCTATGTGCTTACTCATTTTCTGATATCTTAATTCTTTAGTGTTAGCTATTGCCGCACTGTTATCACAGTATAGTCTCAATGGCTTATCCACACCAGGAACTACTTTAAGATCCATCAGAAATTTGCGGAGCCACATTGCTTCATTTGAAGCATCACTAGCTGCCACATACTCGACTTCCATCGTTGAGTCAGAAGTGTAAGTTTGCTTGACACTCCTCCAAACGACGGAACCACCTCCCAGAGTAAAGACAGAACCCGAAGTCGATTTTCTAGAATCCAAACATGATTGAAAATCCGAATCTGTAAATCCTAGAGGTGTCAAATCCTCCCCGGAATATACCAGCATATAATTTCTAGTTCTCCGAAGATACTTGAATATATGCTTGACTGCAACCCAGTGGTTAGGTCCTGGATTCGACTGATATCGACTTACAATCCCGACCGCATGGCAAATGTCCGGTCGAGTACAAAGCATTGCATACATGAGGCTCCCGACCGCCGAAGCATAAGGTACCTTTGCCATGTATTCTCTTTTCTCAGATGTCTTGGGACAATCACTGTTCGAAAGAGTAATATCATACCTAGATGGTTGCCCACCTTTCTTGGAATTCTGCATTACATACTTCTCGAGAATTTTATCTATGTATGAAGCCTGAGAGAGAGCTATTATTTTGTTCTTTCAATCTCTTAAGATTCGAATGCCCATAACATAATTAGCTTCTCCTAAGTCCTTCATGTCAAACTGTTTGGTAAGCCAAACTTTGACTGATGACAAAGCCCCTACATCATTGCCAATGAGTAGAATATCATCAACATATAACAGTAGAAAAACCACTTTCCCATCGTGAATATGCTTATAAACACAAGGTTCATCCATATTCTGTTAGAATCCAAAAGTCTTGACCACTTGGTCAAATCTTTTGTTCCAAGAACGGGAAGCTTGCTTTAATCCATAAAAAGATTTCAGCAACTTGCAAACTTTTCCCTCTTGACCCTTAGCCCCAAAGCCTTCTGGTTGTACCATATAGATACTTTCCTCAAGATGACCGTTCAAGAACGTCGTCTTGACATCCATTTGCCAAATCTCATAGTCAAGAGCAGCCGCAATGGATAAGAGAATGCAGATGGACTTAAGCATGGCTACAGGCGAAAAGGTTTCCTCGTAGTCAATTTCCTCTTTTTGCGTGTATCCTTTAGCTACCAGTCAAGCCTTATAGGATATGCAAATATATTGTAATTTGAATTGGGAATAAAATCCGAACTGTGTTTGGATAAAGTGTTGAAAACTATCATTAGAGTTTTATAACAAATCTTATAAAATCTCATTATAAATAACATTAAAAAATATGCAATATGGGTGGTGATTTGTTCCTCTCTTCATTATGAACACATTAAAAAAATCATATGAATCGGAATTAAAATGAAGTTATGACACTTTTAAGATTGAAATTGAAGAGAGAGAAAAAGTAGAATATGTAACTATTTAACTGTTGACCAATTCGAATTGTTAGAATTTAAGGGCGGGAGATAAATTCTAAACTTAACAATTTGAGTTATCCTTAAACCATTGATATTGGTGTGAATCTTAAAGGTTTTAATGTTGGTGTTGTAATCTACATGAGAAAAATAATATACTTTTGAATTATATTGATAATTTAAAATGAAAAATAAAAGCATACATTTACAAACAAACAAAAAAAAAACTTTGAGATATTTGTGAATAACTAGTTTTCTTAGAAACGTTTTCAGTTAAAAGGATAGATGAGGTAAAAACAAAAAAACAGAAAATAAATCAAAGTGATAGAGATTCTAACATTAAATAAATTATGGTACAAATCTTAACTGTATGGAGTATGTGGCATAGTATATAGAAAGGATAGATGAGGTAAAAAAGAAAGAAAAAAGAAAAAAACAAAAAACAAAGTGGTGAAGATCTAACTTAAATAAATTATGGTACAAATCTTAACTATGTGGAGTTTGTGGCATAATACCTAAATTTTCTCTTATTGTTCAGATCTAGTTTTACACGGGGGCTGGGCTCAAGTGTGGGCTAACTAGGAAAGAGCAAGTTGGTAATGGCAGAGACTGGAGCGAAGAGGAAGCGAATGGGCAAGAGAGAAGGAGAAGCTGTTTTCCCCAAAACGACATCAAATTGCCCTGCGATCAAACCAAAACAAAATCTCCACATCACTCGCCTCAAAGACACCGATCTTTTCACAGTATGAATCTCATCCATTATCTCAAAATTTCCATATTTCTTTTTTTTTTTGGTATGGGCTTTAGTATATATACACCGAAAAATCAGTTCTTCAAATTTATTATTTTGATCATTTTTAGGAACATAATTTTGTTGAATTTTCCTTCTCAGAATTCATTAATATGTTGTTGAATTTTTCCATGTTATAATAATTGTTAGCTAGAGACGTTCAGGTTGAAAATTTTCTGTCATCAGCTGAATCAAAAGCATTCATGAACGCTAGAATCCCTTGGTTTTGCTCACCAAGGGAGTTTGGGGCCAGCAAAAGGCGAGGCTTACAGAGATAGTGATCGAATCTCCGTGAACGCCCCAGTTCTGGCGGATGCAATATGGGCTTCTGGTCTTAGCCTATTGTTTTCTGATATTAAAATTCGTGGGAAATCTGCTTTTGGCTTGAATCCCAATATCCGATTCTACAGGTATTACATTGGATTCGGAAGATTTACACTATGGATTTTATGATTGACCCTTTGTGAAATTTTGCTTCTTTTTACCATTATGTAATTCTTGTTACGGGTTAAGCGCACTAATCCTTTAATAACGAGAGCTATAATATACAAGATAGACAAGAGAATCCATATATATTCATTGTTAGCGGCAAAAACAAACTTGGTTACAAAACAAACTTGGTTACAAAAAGTTGGCATATATTAGTTGCATTATGGATCAGAATATGTGTCTTCAGAGTAAGCCTTCTAGTGGTATTTTTGTCAGATATTCAGAAAAACGTTAGCAAGGTAGTGATTCAGATAGCATTTGATTGTTATAAATTTTGTTACAGTCTGATCATTGTAGTTCAATGAAACATAGCTAGCCATGTACTCCTTACGATCCTCAAGAGCAAAGAAAGTATTTGATTGCATGCGAGTTATAAATTACAAAATACTTTATTCTCACGTCGTCACGACTAGTTATACAATATATAGATGATTCTGAAATAGTGAAATATTAAGGTTGCGTTTGGTATGAGGGTTTTAAAACCGGAGTTCATGATTCTGATTCCAACCTTTGTTTGTTTGCAAAAAGTAAAAAATGGTTCTTGAAAGTCAGTATTTAGTTTGGATGGTTCTAGTTTAAAGTCTGGATCCTGATGTGATGTTTTACTTGAAAAGTGAGTTTTTCAGGGAATAATTCTTTCTTTCATTGATCACCTATTTAAATGATTTACAAAGCATGTACACACCCTTCGAATCAGGAAAGCAATCACTGATTTAAGGAATATAGCTAATTCTAAGGAAGGAAATAACTTCTGACATATACTTTCCTAAAATACAAAGATTGACAGCTAATTAGCTAATTTACAGCTTTACACAGATTGTTTCCAAAAACAGTTCCGATTTTCCAACACTCCCCCTCAAGCTGGTCTAAAGATATCTTCCATAGCCAGCTTGCCAATTAGAAGGTCAAACTGTTTTTTGTATAGCCCTTGGTAAAGACGTCTGCCACTTGTTCCTCGGTAGGAATATAGGTCATACACATCAAACCGTTATCTATCTTTTCCTTAATGAAATGCTTATCCACTTCTACATGTTTCGTGCGGTCATGGAAAACTAGATTATAGGCAATTGAAATTGCAGCCTTGTTGTCACAATACAACTTCATAGGAGATGACCCCAACGCCTTTAGCTCCTCTAGCAATCTTCTTATCCACATAATCTCACAGATGCCATGTGCCACAGCTCTAAACTCAGCCTCCACACTACTTCTAGCAACCACGTTCTGTTTTTTGCTTTGTCATGTAACCAAGTTACCACCCACGAATGAGCAGTACCCCGAGATAGACCTTCGGCCCACTATGCTTCCAGCCCAATCTGCATCAATATAGACTTCAATTAGTAGATGTCCTCGTGACTTGAACAGAAGGCCTCTACCTAGTGTCCCCTTTAGATACCTTAGAATCTTGTAAACAGCTTCAAAATGTTCCGATCCAGGTGAATGCATAAACTGACTAACCATGCTCACCGAGAATGCTATGTCCGGGCGTGTATGAGATAAGTAAATCAATCTCCCAACGAGTCTCTGATAACACTCTCTGTCCTTCACATTCTCTGTTTTTGCAGGCTGTAGTTTTACATTAGGCTCTATTGACGTTTCAGCAGGCTTGCAACCTAACATACCCGTCTCATTAAGTAGATCAAGCACATACTTACGCTGATTTACAAAAATACCTCCTTTGGACCTAGCAAACTCCATTCCAAGAAAGTATTTTAACGCCCCAATGTCCTTGATCTCAAATTCTTCAGCGAGTCTTCCTTTTAACTTCTCTAGTTCACTGTAATCATCTCCAGTTAGCACTATATCATCTACATACACAATTAAGATGGTCACTTTCCCTTCCTTTGAATGTTTGTAGAACATAGTGTGATCAGCTTGACTTTGAGTGTATTCATACCGCTTTATCACCTTGCCAAAGCGCTCAAACCAAGCTCTAGGGGACTGCTTGAGTCCATATAAGGACTTCTTCAGTTTACACACCTTTCCAGCTCCAAAACTTTCTTCGAAACCTGGTGGCAGGCTCATGAACACTTCCTCCTCTAGGTCTCCATTAAGGAAGGCATTTTTAACATCCAATTGATGTAAAGGCCAATTAGAATTTACTGCAAGGGACAACAAAACTCTGATTGAGTTAATTTTAGCTACCGGGGCAAAGGTTTCTTGGTAGTCTATCCCATAGGTTTGAGTGAAACCTTTTGCCAAAAACCTAGCTTTATATCTCTCAATACTTCCATCAGCCTTACTCTTTATTGTAAAGACCCATTTACACCCAACAACCTTTTTTTCTCTCGGCAATTCTACTATCTCCCAAGTATCATATTTTCTCAAGGCATCCATTTCTTCAAACACTGCCGATTTCCAACTTGGTTCATTTAGTGCTTCCTGAATGCTTCTAGGCACAACAAGGTTTGAAATATTTGTAGTGAATGCTCTATACCTGTCAGAGAGATTATTGTAGGAAATATATTTGGCAATAGGATGCTTAGTGCATGTGCGGGTTCCTTTTCTAAGGGCAATTGGAAGATCAGTGTCACGGGCCTGTGTAGGAATTACTGGGGCTAATTCTAAACAAGGTTCGGGTGCAGAAATTTCAGAATCAGAATTAGAGAGTAATGGCAAAGAATGAGTAGGAATGGAAGAAGAATTACCTGAGACACTTGGAAGACCATCACCCAGGACTTCCGTTTGACCATGTGTTAGGATCATTAATTGGTCTTTACTTCTTCCAGGGACATTCTTCCTTGCATAAACCACAGGCTCAAGATTGCTGCGATTTTTTTCCATTCGTAGTATTTCTTTTTCCGACAGATCAATGAAATTAGGTTCGGATGCAGTGGGTTTATCCTTATTTTCTTTTTCTTTTTCCATTGATTTGAAAGAGATATCAAGGATCAGATTAGGTAAGGGTTCAGCAACTTCCCAAAAATTTGGTTCAACTAAGTTCTCCCCCATAAGTAAATTTTTGGTAAAATATGGGGTATTTTCCAAAAAAGAGACATCCATGGTTGTGTAAAAACGTTTTGTAAGGGGATTAAAACACTTGTAGCCCTTTTTATTAGGAGTATATCCTATATTGTAGGAAATATATTTGGCAATAGGATGCTTAGTGCATGTGCGGGTTCCTTTTCTAAGGGCAATTGGAAGATCAGTGTCACGGGCCTCTGTAGGAATTACTGAGGCTAATTCTAAACAAGGTTCGGGTGCAGAAATTTCAGAATCAGAATTAGAGAGTAATGGCAAAGAATGAGTAGGAATGGAAGAAGAATTACCTGAGACACTTGGAAGACCATCACCCAGGACTTCCGTTTGACCATGTGTTAGGATCATTAATTGGTCTTTACTTCTTCCAGGGACATTCTTCCTTGCATAAACCACAGGCTCAAGATTGCTGCGATTTTTTTCCATTCGTAGTATTTCTTTTTCCGACAGATTAATGAAATTAGGTTCGGATGCAGTGGGTTTATCCTTATTTTCTTTTTCTTTTTCCATTGATTTGAAAGAGATATCAAGGATCGGATTAGGTAAGGGTTCAGCAACTTCCCAAAAATTTGGTTCAACTAAGTTCTCCCCCTGAAGTAAATTTTTGGTAAAATATGGGGTATTTTCCAAAAAAGAGACATCCATGGTTGTGTAAAAACGTTTTGTAAGGGGATTAAAACACTTGTAGCCCTTTTTATTAGGAGTATATCCTACAAAAACACATTTTTCTGTCCTTGGGTCTAACTTAGACCGTGACCTTTTTGGAAGGTGAACATATGCAGTGCAACCAAATATTTTTAAAGGTAATTCAGAATTAATCCGAGAATCTGGAAATACCTTTTTAAAAACCTTCAGTGGTGTAGTGTACTGCAAAACTTTTGTGGGCATCCTGTTGATTAGATATGATGCAATGAGTATGGCATCCCCCCATAAGTATTTTGGAATATTCATGTAAAACATCATAGCCCGGGCTACTTCTAACAAATGTTTATTTTTGCGTTCAGCTATTCCGTTTTGCTCAGGAGTATCTGAACATGTTGATTGATGTAAAATACCATTTTCCTTTAAAAAAGTTTCCAAGACTTTACTAAAATATTCCGTTCCATTATCAGATCTCAAAATGCTGATTTTTGTTTGAAATTGATTTTCAATCATTGTGTAAAAATCTTTAAAAAAAATTTCAACTTCTGATTTTTCCCGCATTAAATACACCCAGCAAAGACGAGTGTGGTCGTCTATAAAGGTTACAAACCATTTTTTTCCTGAAACAGTGGTTATCTTTGAGGGTCCCCAAACATCGCTATGAAAGAGATAAAATGGTTTTGAAGCTTGATAAGTTTTTTTAATATAAGGTTTTCGTTGGCTCTTTGCCAATAAACAGCTTTCACATTGAAATGATAAAGGATTAACCCTTTTAAACAATGCTGGAAACAAATGTTTCAAATAAGAAAAACTAGGATGGCCCAATCTGCAATGCCAAACTATTATTTGATCATGAACAGAAATAGAACTAATACTACTAAGTCCTTGAGCAATTTTATTACTAGGTAGATTATCCTCGAAATAGTAGAGACCATTGATCATCCTAGCACTGCCAATCGTCTTCCCCGAGCTCTGATACCCAGGGAAAAAAAAAAAAAGAAGAGGATCGAATGAAAGGAAGAAGAAGACTGATTTCCGCAAGCAATCCGCCTACGCTCTGATACCAACTTGAAAAGTGAGTTTTTCAGGGAATAATTCTTTCTTTCATTGATCACCTATTTAAATGATTTACAAAGCATGTACACACCCTTCGAATCAGGAAAGCAATCACTGATTTAAGGAATATAGCTAATTCTAGGGAAGAAAATAACTTCTGACATATACTTTCCTAAAATACAAAGATTGACAGCTAATTAGCTAATTTACAGCTTTACACAGATGGTTTCCAAAAACAGTTCCGATTTTCCAACAGTTTTAAATCAAAATCATCCCAAAAAATAAAACCACCCTCCCTCTTGGTTTTGGATGGTTCAAACCCCTAATTTTAATCCCGGTTCCAAAATCATGGTTTGGACCACATGTTCAAATCATGAATCATGGTTCTGATTCTAAAATCAAAACCACGCTAATTTAAACCCTCATACCAAACACAAAAATTAATATTTAAGTAGCATACATGTATCAACGCTTGAATAAAAATCAGAGAGATGAAATATCATATTCCAAGATATGGAGTTTCTAACCTGCATGTATTGTTGATCGGCTTCAGTCATGTTAGTTTGCTCATGATCTTTTGGCTGTCTACGGTATCGTTCGATGATTTTTCGCATGCTGAAACATCCAAAACATATTACATGAGCATGTTCAAACATTTTACTATTGATACAATGCTTTATTACCAGAAATATATTAAAAGAAAAAAAAAAAAAAGAAGCAACGCTACTGTTAATTGTAGTAGCCCGTTGATGAAGAACTGGATTAGAGTTTTAAAAAGTTTTAATTAATTACATTGAATTTAAGGTTATGATTATCTCTTAGGACTATTTAGGACTAGTCAAGTTTATCTTTTTGATATTTTAAATTTACGCAAATACATTAGTTGTAATTTCAATTCAATGCATTGGAATCTTGAAGCACCAGCATGACCGTTACCGCAAATTTGCCTGCACTGCGGTAAGGCACCACGCTATTATGCTAGAAATGATTGATTAATGAATATTGAGTTTTATAGTTTCATTTCTTATTCCTTTTTTGAATTCTCTTTCTCTTTTCCTGTTCTATCTCTATGTCTCTAGAATTGGATAAATTTCTCTACCCTAATTATATTCTTTTCTCTAAACTCTATCTTTTATGTTTGCCTAAATCATTGGTTAGCAATGATATTAAAAAGACATTCAAATTCCTTAAGATAAGAACAAAACTTATCATTGAGAAAATTATCTGATTGTCCATGTCTAACAATATGGTTTTAGATCAATAGTGCTTAGATAGTTTCCAATTAGTTATTTTAGACCATCTTCAATCTAAATGCTATTCTCAACGACATGTTTGGCATCAAAAAAACTAAAAATTAAATGCTTGATATGCTATTTTTATTCATACTATAGTGCATAATGCTATTTCAAATGCTAAATCTACATTTTATCATAATCGAGAAAATTATAACTTAATTTTCTCATAATCTACATTTTCTTAATGGTAAGAACAAATCTTATCATTGAGAAAATTCCTTGATTGTCCATGTTTAACAATATGGTAATAGATCAATAGTGCCCAGATAGTTTCCAATTAGTTATTTTAGACCATCTTCAATCTAAATGCTATTCTCAACGACATGTTTGGCATCAAAAAAACTAAAAATTAAATGCTTGATATGTTATTTTTATTCATACTTTAGTGCATAATGTTATTTCAAATGCTAAATCTACATTTTATCATAATCAAGAAAATTATAGCTTCATTTTCTCATAATCTACATTTTCTCAATGATAAGAACAAAACTTATCATTGAGAAAATTCCTTGATTGTCCATGTTTAACAATATGGTAATAGATCAATAGTGCCCAGATAGTTTCCAATTAGTTAATTTAGACCATCTTCAATCTAAATGCTATATCAACAACATATTTGGCATCAAAAGGCTGAAAATTAAATGCTTAATATGTTATTTTTATTTATATTTTAGTGCGTAATGCTATTTCAAATGCTAAACCTACATTTTCTCATAATCAGTAAAGTTTTGAAAGTTGTAAAAATAAACTTTTAATTTTAAATTAATTTGAAAATTCTGGTGTTGAAATTGTTAAAATTTCCAACTAACAATCAAGTACAAAAATTTGGCATATGCGGAAGATACCATATGTCAAATTTAATAATTTAGCATAAAAATAAAATTGCATCGGAAAGTGATTTTTTCTACTCAAATACGAAAATTTGACATTAACACACTAATTTAAGATTGGAGATGCTGCAATAGTAACGTTACATATGCAGTTTCATATAATTATAGACGTATTGCAAAAACATAGAGGATACACAACTTACTACCAATTAGCAGTAAGGCCACAGACTAACAAGTTATAACGTATTAATCAACTTCACGCAAAACTACGACTGCTGCACTAATTTTAAAGAGAAATATACAATAGTACATTACGTAGAAGAAAATAAAAGGATAACTAACGAAAATATGTTTCAGATTACCTTTTCCATAGTGCAATGCACGAATGTTTTACTCCAAGTGCAAGAAACAACTCCACTGCAAGACCACAAGGGTCGTTTAAAAGAGAAAATGATTTGTAGTCATATCTTCTTTCTTCGTTTAAGCATATATCAATATAAAACTTTCAAATAAAATGTGTAGAAAATAAGACTGATTCAAAAACCAGACCGACGTGGCCTCTATTGTATAGAATTAATAACCCCTCATGCCCCACATTCTCTATACTATATGTTAGATGATAAATGAATCATAGTTTAACACATTTTAACACCAAATATCGAATATACACACAATGGGAGACTTAAAAATACCACTCAAGATGGTAACAAATATTATTTATACCACTGCACTAAAAAGAAACAATGTCATTCAATTAATAGAGATAAAATAAAAAATTATGATGACACCTAATTATTTGAAATAACATAAATAATAAGCATGTACAAAACTGTGACAAACCATATAAGTTTCTCATATATACAATTCTTTTCCATGTGTGGATATGTTGGCTCGTATCTAAAGGAAATTGTGAATATCTTCAAAGTTCAAGAAGTCTAATAATCTCAATTTTATCAAGAAAAGGTAAATAAAAGGAATATGTCCGAGGCATTAGATCTATGAACTTAATGTGATGAACATTGCAATTCAAACACAATATTAGTTTCATATTTAAATACGGCACACAAAATGCATAGAAGGGCTAAATCAGGAAAAAGAAAACTAGAACATATTATACCAAGGATTAGATAATTGAGCATGAACAGGCACACTCTCATAATTGAGCATGAAACTAGCCATGCAGATAGTGTTCAATTTTTAACCAGCTAGTTGCTCAAATACTGAGACGAAATGAATATATGAAGTATCTTTGAGAGGGTTGAAACAAAAACAAAAGAAAAGAAATCATTGAGAAAGTTGCTCAAACTTAAGACTTTAGCCTAAATTTGAAGCATAAAAAAGGGAAGGATAAAAAAGTGAACAATAGGAATAAAGGACAAATTTTTAAAAAAAATTCATCCACTTGACCAAAATCTCACTTTAGTCCTTGAACTTGCATTTGTAGCTTCCATTCCTCTCAAACTATGGAAACATCTCATTTCATCTAAATTTTGGACATTTGGCACTCTCTGAGGATGTCAATGGCGTTATCTAAATTAACTCTTCCAAATTATCGTTCTTCACCCTTCTTTCAATAAAGCCTTTTAAAAAAAGGAATAATTCCTTTCACTTCAAGAACTCGTTCCATTTGAAATTTCACCGCATCCTCAAAATAATTCACACGACAATCAAAAGTGTCATGCCATCTTCTCAATAGTTTCAAAGTACTAGACATTTTAAAAATCATATTGTAGCAAAGCAAACAATCAAACAAGTTGTTCATTATAGGCAGCTATAAAAATAATGACAAAAAACAAAACAAAAGGAGACAAAGAAAGTTCCCACACAATCTTTTCATCATCACAAGTCTTTTCTTGTGATGAGCAGCTTGTTATCTAATCAATTCAAACAAAGTTCCCAAAAGAAAGTTCCTTATGCTATATTATTTCCTAATCAATTCAAGCATTTTTCACTCAAAGCTTCCTTTTTTTTTCCCCTTAGCTGAAATGAGCTTCATTAAAGAGGAAAATAAGCTACAAAAGAGGAGTAGGAAAAACAAGTACTCCAACATATCAACAACTAAAGCTGCAGCCCCAGACAAAGAATCAAAATCACTTCCAAGAAGAAACAAAAACAACAACGCACAGACTAACAAACACCAACAAGCAACTGGAAATAAAATACAAACAAACTGAGAAAATAAAACTCTAGTTTAAGAACAAATAAAACTAAGAAAACGAAAGTCTAGTTCAAAGCTGTTAATCACAAGCCTTTTCTTCTTCCAATGTCAGAGTTCCACCAGAGTTCTTCAACATAGCACAACTTATTATTTTTTTCACTTTTTTTTTTCCTTTTTTTGGCGCTGGTTTAAGTTTTTGATGAAGACTAGGGCTTTCTTTTATTTCTTCGAAGAGGACAGAGGGAGCCAACCACCACAATCCCTCAAAAACTGGCTTTGCCATTTTGCCATCAACAAAACCCCTTATATAACTAAGACGTGATATTTAACATCTAAAATATAACAAAAGTGGATTAAGTGAGACTTTGGTTTTCACAGTTCGCGGAGAATCGAACTTAATTCTTGCAAAAATAGAAACTAAATCTGACAATAGTCCGTCGAATTAACACGCTTACCGATAAGGTTGGTACACAATTAAAATTTTCCCTCTGACAAGTGTAATTGTCAGACATTAGTAAACATATTTATCACGAAAATTCATAATAGATTGATATAATTGTCCTTAGTTACAAGTTTTTCACTTTTATTTCTAATAGCATGAATCTCTAACATGTATATGTCAAGAAGGTGAATCATCATGATCCAATTGAACCTTTTAACCACAACTAATTACATGGAAAATATCTAATTAAAGATTACTTTCTCGGAATATATTTCAAAAGGATAGATCTTTACTCAATCGTTTAAGGGTATGTTAACTTCAAATGAACAGAAAGGAAATAAGAGCAGTGTTTCTATTTACCAACGTAGCAACTACACATGTCTATACATAATAGATTGATATAATTGTCCTTAGTTACAAGTTTTTCACTTTTACTTCAAATAGCATGAATCTCTAACATGTATATGCCAAGAAGGTGAATCATCATGATCCAAATGAATCTTTTAACCACAACTAATTACATGGAAAATATCTAATTTAATATTACTTTCTCGGAATATATTTGAAAAGAATAGATCTTTACTCAATCTTTTAAGGGTATGTAAACTTCAAATGAATGGAAAGAAAATAAGAGTAGTGTTTCTCTTTACCAACTTAGCATCTACACATGTCTATACATAATAGATTGATATAATTGTCCTTAGTTAAAAGTTTTCCACTTTTACTTCTAGTAGCATGAATCTTTAACATGTATATGCCAAGAAGGTGAATCATCAAGATCCAAAAGAACCTTTTAACTACAACTAATTACATGGAAAATATCTAATTTAAGATTACTTTCTCAGAATATATTTGAAAAGGACAGATCTTTACTCAATCTTTTAAGGGTATGTTAACTTCAAATGAACGGAAAGGAAATAAGGGCAGTGTTTCTCTTTAGCAACTTAGCAACTACACATGTCTATACATAATAGATAGATATAATTGTCCTTAGTTACAAGTTTTCCACTTTTACTTCCAATAGCATTAATCTCTAACATGCATATGCCAAGAAGGTGAATTATCATGATCCAAATGAACCTTTTAACTACAACTAATTACATGAAAATATCTAATTTTGGATTACTTTCTTGCAATATATTTGAAAATGACAGATTTTTACTCAATCTTTTAAGGGTATGGACCACATGTTCAAATCATGAATCATGGTTCTGATTTTAAAATCAAAACCAACCTAATTTAAACCCTCATACCAAACACAAAAATCAGTATTTAAGTGGCATACATGTATCAACGCTTGAATAAAAATCAGAGAGATGAAATATCATATTCCAAGATATGGAGTTTCAAACCTGCATGTATTGTTGATCGGCTTCAGTCATGTTAGTTTGCTCAAGATCTTTTGGCTGTTTACGGTATCGTTCGATGATTTTTCGCATGCTGAAACATCCAAAACATATTACATGAAGATGTTCAAATATTTTACTATTGATACAATGCTTCATAACCAGAAATATATTAAAAGACAAAAAAAAAAAGCAACGTTGCTGTTAATTGTAGTAGCCCGTTGATGAAGAACTGGATTAGAGTTTTAAAAAGTTTTAATTAATTACTTTGAATTTATGGTTATGATTATTATCTCTTAGGACTATTTAGGACTAGTCAAGTTTATCTTTTCGATATTTTAAATCTACGCAAATACATTAGTTGTAATTTCAATTCAATGCATTGGAATCTTGAAGCACCAGCATGACCGTTACCGCAAATTTGCCTGCACTGCGGTAAGGCACCACGCTATTATGCTAGAAATGATTGATTAATGAATATTGAGTTTTATAGTTTCATTTCTTATTCCTTTTTTGAATTCTCTTTCTCTTTTCCTGTTCTATCTCTATGTCTCTAGAATTGGAAAAATTTCTCTACCCTAATTATATTCTTTTCTCTAAACTCTTTCTTTTATGTTTGCCTAAATCATTGGTTAGCAATGATATTAAAATGACATTCAAATTCCTTAAGATAAGAACAAAACTTATCATTGAGAAAATTATTTGATTAAGACTAGGGCTTTCTTTTATTTCTTCGAAGAGGACAGAGGGAGACAAAGAAAGTTCCCACACAATCTTTTCATCATCACAAGTCTTTTCTTGTGATGAGCAGCTTGTTATCTAATCAATTCAAACAAAGTTCCCAAAAGAAAGTTCCTTATGCTATATTATTTCCTAATCAATTCAAGCATTTTTCACTCAAAGCTTCCTTTTTTTTTCCCTTAGCTGAAATGAGCTTCATTAAAGAGGAAAATAAGCTACAAAAGAGGAGTAGGAAAAACAAGTACTCCAACATATCAACAACTAAAGCTGCAGCCCCAGACAAAGAATCAAAATCACTTCCAAGAAGAAACAAAAACAACAACGCACAGACTAACAAACACCAACAAGCAACTGGAAATAAAATACAAACAAACTGAGAAAATAAAACTCTAGTTTAAGAACAAATAAAACTAAGAAAACGAAGTCTAGTTCAAAGCTGTTAATCACAAGCCTTTTCTTCTTCCAATGTCAGAGTTCCACCAGAGTTCTTCAACATAGCACAACTTATTATTTTTTTCACTTTTTTTTTCCTTTTTTTGGCGCTGGTTTAAGTTCTTGATTAAGACTAGGGCTTTCTTTTATTTCTTCGAAGAGGACAGAGGGAGCCAACCACCACAATCCCTCAAAAACTGGCTTTGCCATTTTGCCATCAACAAAACCCCTTATATAACTAAGACGTGATATTTAACATCTAAAATCTAACAAAAGTGGATTAAGTGAGACTTTGGTTTTCACAGTTCGCGGAGAATCGAACTTAATTCTTGCAAAAATAGAAACTAAATCTGACAATAGTCCGTCGAATTAACACGCTTACGGATAAGGTTGGTACACAATTAAAATTTTCCCTCTGACAAGTGTAATAGTCAGAGATTAGTAAACATATTTATCACGAAAATTCATAATAAATTGATATAATTGTCCTTAGTTACAAGTTTTCCACTTTATTTCTAATAGCATGAATCTCTAACATGTATATGTCAAGAAGGTGAATCATCATGATCCAAATGAACCTTTTAACCACAACTAATTACATGGAAAATATCTAATTAAAGATTACTTTCTCAGAATATATTTCAAAAGGATAGATCTTTACTCAATCGTTTAAGGGTGTGTTAACTTCAAATGAACAGAAAGGAAATAAGAGCAGTGTTTCAATTTACCAACGTAGCAACTACACATGTCTATACATAATAGATTGATATAATTGTCCTTAGTTACAAGTTTTCCACTTTATTTCTAATAGCATGAATCTCTAACATGTATATGTCAAGAAGGTGAATCATCATGATCCAAATGAACCTTTTAACCACAACTAATTACATGGAAAATATCTAATTTAATATTACTTTCTCGGAATATATTTGAAAAGAATAGATCTTTACTCAATCTTTTAAGGGTATGTCAACTTCAAATGAACGGAAAGGAAATAATAGTATACCAACTTAGCAACTACACATGTCTATACATACAAAATCAGGAATAAGAACTCAGTGGTGCACACATGATGCAAGGAATGTCAAACCTAACTCCACTTTGGTAGTTATTAATCTAGGTTACTTTGAATAATTGTGAACTTAGTAATAGGCCTTTATCGAGTCAATGATTATTCAATCACAAAGAAGGTAATTTTATTAATTGAATCGATAAGATTTCTATCTCAAACTTTAGTAAACACTAAAAAGAGAGACTATTGTTTAGAATCCTTTTCCGAATAAATAAGCTAGGTAGGAAATCAATAATCCCGATTCTCATTTCTTTTCTTTGCTTTTTACGTTTATATATTTTCCTATTACTTTTCATTATGGTATGGTGAACATTCCTAAAAGTACATATATAATTAGTTAATGCTGAAAGCATAATTTATTTCGTTTCCAAAGCATTTCATGTAAACCCGGAGCTCTATTCTCACACACACACAACTCACTATAGAGTTTAAATAGATCTTTAGTATCATGTTACAAATGCTATCTAGATGTTACTCCTCCGACAACAGAAACAAGGCCAATCTAATGGGATCCAAATATAACCATGCTCCAAATAGCATTCACTTATAAGAGTACAGAGAGATGCTAGCATCACTCTCTGTCACTCTAAAAGACGCTCTCTTTGTCACTCTCTGCATTCACAGTTTGACATGTGGACTCCACTATCTCATTTTTTGTTTAAATAATAATACACAATATAACGTGAAAGACCCTAAGTCACAAGTTGATAATTAAATGATGTTTTAGTACTCCTTGGTTCCATTAAAAGTTATGTGAGGCCATGCATTGCACAGTTATAGCTCCGAATTCAAGCACATGAAGCTCCAAGTAACCATGATAAGTGAAGAAGTAAAAGTAAAAAAAAAAAAAAAAAAAAAATGTTTTTGCAGTGTGATTTTTTGTGATCATAACTAACTATCTTGGGGCCAAGGTGTTGATCATGCAAGTATGAGCTTTGGGGTATAGAAACTTCTAGAGTTTAGTAGTCTATAATTCTCATAACAAGTTTCATGTATTTTCATTAAAGGTTCGTTTCAAGGATAGTATACACAGGAGCTTTCTCTTGCTCTTGCATATAAAGACGACTTTTATAAGCTTCGGCTGTACTAATTAACAACTAAGCAACTCATATATATTTTACAGTTTGTAATGTGATTTGCATATATATATATATATTTCATTTTAAGTGAGGTATAAGTTTCGTCAGATGGGTTGTCAGCAAAAGCTGAAACATACATAGACTCCACATAACAAACTCTAATTGGCATTTTAACAAGCATCGCAATCAGAAAGTTAACCAAAGTTCCATAAAATCTCAGCCACTTCCCATATGAACAGCGTAGACAACTAATAACAAGTAGAAATCTTATATTATAAAATTAATTAGCGACATATATTGATCGGAATTCAATGTTTGTTAAAAACCACCTTTTGTACAAATTTTTGACCTATCAGGAGACCCCCTTCTAGATTAACAATGACTTTTAAACGTACGTACGTCTAGATACTGAAAGAAGAAATATCTCCAATCATAAAACTCGTATTAAGCAAGTACTTATAATAGTCATTCGTGATGTAATTGCAACATTTGTAGGGCATATATACATATATATAAACACACATATATATATATAAAAAGGCGGACCCCAGTGCCAAAGAGGCTCCCGTACTATGACAGGCTCGGAGGAAAGCTCAATCCCATATGTACGCGATCTTACCCCTCAAAGGAGAGGCTGTTTCCGGAATTCGAACCCTGGACCCCGGGGACAAACACAAGCGCTCCCACCACGGTGCCAAGGCGCGCCTTCACACACACACAGATATATATATATATATATATATATATAAATGGCCACCAAGAAAACTAGCAATTATATAAGTACTAGAAGCAAGGGCTAGGTCCCCCAGGATCAAAGGGCAACTATAGATACACGGTGCACTTGACGAGCCGATTTATGATCTTACAAGCATTAGATCAAGTGATTAGTACTTGAAATGAAATAGAGAAAATCTATCAAGATATTTCTCCAAGAAGATCAACCCAAAAGCATCTTCAGGTACAACACAACAGCTAGGCAGTACTAGCTTTGGTGATATTATCAAGTACTTGAAGAGAAGGGAAAAACTAAATATTATATATAAGCAAATGGGCAAGGATCATTTTGCAGAATCTACATGGTATTGAAGAGCTAGGTACCCGTCAAACAAAATTTACAGATACAAACACACACACGTATATGTACACATATACACACACTAGACTCCACCATGATCAGTGCATTAACCCATACCTTATAGCAAACAACAAGAACGGCAAATAGCAATTATATATACTTGTTTCTTTTATGGGACAAAATTTTCATAGTACGAAGTTAATGTTTACATATTACGAAGCAAATAAACATATAAGTACTCGAAAAAGAAACATGGGTTTCGTGAATCATTCCTCAAAAAGAACAAAAAAAAAAAAAAAAATGAACACATACTCAGTGCTTGAGAACTCATAGAGCCTGCCTTTCTGAGAGAAGATGATCACCGCAACCTCGACATCGCAGAGAACCGAGAGCTCGTGAGCCTTCTTCAACAACCCATTTCGTCTCTTCGAGAAAGTCACTTGCCTGTTTGTGGCATTCTCGATCCTTCTCATCTGAATTTTCCCTCTCACCATTTTTGCCCTCCTACAACACACCAAAAGGAAAATTGGGGTTTTTTATTTCTTCAAGTTTCATTTCACAGCTTTAACCCTAAATTCAAGAATTCTAAGAAGGAAAATCAGCATAAAATAACGAAAAAATCTGACAAAAACAAAATTGGTATGAAAATGTAATGAGTGTACAAGGTTTCCATCAAAATACCTAGAAGAAAACTTGAAAGATTCTGGCGTTGACAGATTTGAAGTTTAACTATGGAGCTCTGTGGAGAGAAGACGTACGATCTATTTTGTAAGAACAGTGACGACCAAAAATATCACAAAAATAAAAGTACATTACAGGCATAATTTTTTTTCTATATATGCTAAAAATATCCTCCAAACAGCCAAAAAAAACCCCCCGAAAAAGATATCAAATTTCTTTTCCAAAACAAGAAAAAGAAATCAGAGAAAAAAAAAACTGAGTTTGTATTTGCAGAAAGAGGAAGAAGAACTACGTACATAGGATGTTGTCAGCAAAACGAAAGGACTCTAGACCAATGGGAATCGACCTCGTCACGTGGCTCACCTGGTTTGGCGGGTCATCAGCTCGTACTATTTTTCTTTTAACTTTTATGCGCGTGTGGAAACAATAAATAATAAAGTAATGCCAACTACAATTGGAGGTTTGTGAGCGTAAAAATGCTGCAATAAAGCACTAATAAGTCAATAACAATGCTTAGCTTAATTAGGATTTTTAGAACACTTATCCTTAAACTTGTCATGATTTAATAAATTATCTCTTCAATTTGTAATTTGGATAATCAATTCCCTCAGCTTATAAAACTGTTGCATTTAATCCATTTGACAAATTTCTTTAAAAAACACCTGTAAGATTTTAAAGAGGTAAAATTAATATTTTACATGCCCTAATATTTAAAAGTCATACCAAACTTAAAAAGACATAAACAAAGAAGGTAATATAATTGTTAGGGCCCTTAACAATTAAAATGCTTGAAAGCACCTCATAATTTATAGAGTGTTATTTAATTGTGAGTTACTGATGAGTTTTATGCTATTAGTTTTCTTTTTTTATTTGTGTGTGGTGCCTTATCGTTTAACTTAAATTTATATTTATATAAACTTTTAGTTTATATACTTTTACTTATTTATATATTATATATTAATATATTAAAGTTTTAACTTAACTAAAGTACAAAAATAAATTTAAACTTTTCGATAATCTCGAGTCAAGAACGTAATAGTACGGATACGAAAATAATGAAAAAAATTGGATTCAATTGTCAACTGTTCCTATCGGAAATAGGATTGACTACGGATTCGAGCCATAGCACATGGTTACCTATTCTGACCGGGGAGAACAGGCCATTCGACAAGGAGATTCTGAAATTGCGGAAGCTTGGTTCGATCAAGCTGCCGAATATTGGAAACAAGCTCTAGCGCTTACTCCTGGTACTGGCATAATATTGAATATCAAGAATGCTCATTGAATTGGAATAAGTTCGGCAGCGGATCACGAAATCTTGGTGATCTTCTTTATCTAATGAATGGGGAGTCCGCTTTAAAATCATAAAAAAGGATTATTAGCGTTGATACTTGAATTTTAAGTAAGGTGACATTTTGGTCCATAAATTTTTAATTTTAATATATAAGTTCCTGAATTTTTTTATTTTACACAATTTTGGTCCTTAAAATTGAAATTAATGAACGATTTTTCAAATTTAACGTACATAACTACATCTTTGTTGCATGATAATTGAAAATTTTACAAACTATAGTAAATGCGAAATATTAGTTTTCTACAAGTTTTAATACTAACAAATAGAAGATTTACCATATAACGCAATTATTTCTGTAAAATCTTAAGTTATCATGCAATGGACACATCATTATTTTTGTTAATTTCAGAAATCATTCTTCAATTTTAGTGTTAAGTACCAAAACTGTCAATAAAACAAAAATTTAGAGACTAATATGTCAAAATTGAAAGTTCATGAACTAAAACGTCAATATGCTCAAAGTTTAAGAACCAATGGCTAATTGCTTTTAATTTTTTTAAAGAATGATCCTTGTAAAGGTAATTGTTTACGTGATTTCAAGGTTGGCTTAATAATAATATCAAACCCTTCTCCATGTTGAATTTTTTAGTTTGAATCTTACCTGAAACACTCCCATATTTTCTTCTCTAATTATATTTTTTTACATGCATACTATATACCTGATTGGAGCTTTTATTTGTGATTTACTTGGTGTATATATACACTGAAACATCAGTTCATCAAATTCAGTGTCGCTTGAACAAATGCTCTGGGATGTGATGGTGTCATGAATTTTGCTTGTTTTAAGGAATCGGATGAGGAAATGAAAGTTTGGGAGTATTTAGAGTTTCTCAAAATTAAGTTATATGTTGCTGAACTTTTCATATTATGATCATTCTAGATGTGTTCGGGTTCAAAATTTCCTCTCATCAGCCGAGAAAGGCATTTGTCAAAGCTGCAGAATCTATTAGTTTTGCTTGCCAAGAGAGTTTGGGTCCAGATAAACGTGAGGCTTACAAAAATAGTGAGCTGCGCTTTCAGATGCAATGTGGGCTTCTGGTCTTAATCAATTTGCTTGAATAAAATTGTTTGAACTTGTCTTAGAATACGTTTGGTTTGATGGAATATAGTATAAATAAAGTAGAAATAGGAATAAGAATATGAAAATAATAGAAGGAGAATGATAATAGATTAATGATTTATTTAAATTGCGTTGTTTAGTTGAGCATTTGAATTAATATTGGAATGACAATGTTGGTTAATCTTGAAATAGAACATAATATATAGTATAAGTTTTTATCTTATTTATTAATATTGAGATGGTGAAAAATGATATTTAAAGTAAATTTTATAACATTAGGAGGGAGAATTTAGGAGGAGAAAATTTTAAATATTTCATTTTTGAAATGAAATGGTCATTCAACTCATTCATTTCAAGAATTGTTATTCAACCACTTGATGGAATAGCAATTCAATAAGAAAAGTTGTTCATAAGTCTTTTTGTCTAACTAAGAATTTTCATTTCATTGTATGGTCATTTCACCAAATTAAACGTACTCTTAGAGTGCATTAGCCTGAATTTTTACCATTTACTCTAAATTATTACCATTTTGACTAATATAATTATTTGACTAAAAGAGATATTAATCAAAAGTAAAAGGTAACAAATACATACATTCTAAGAGTTATTTGTCTCATTTTCCCATTATTTTATGATATTAAAATTCAGGGGAAAGTTGATGTTGGGTTGAACCCCAATGTTCAATTTTATAGGGTATTGCATTGGATTAGGAAGATTTACCTTGGATTTGATGATTGGCCCTTAAGAAAATATTGCTCCTTTTTTGTATTATGTAATTGTTGTTGCGGATTAAGCAACTAAATTTTCATTAACGAGAGCAATAATTTAAAATAAATACAAACAAAATTTGTAGTAGTGGGAGTTATGCACTATGGTGAAAAGAATGTTACAAAAGTGTTACACAACTTACATCTTAGATTTACTGTATTTCTCTCTAATCTAATTTCATCCATGAAGTTGTTCTGTAATGCTTAACTACCTCAAAAATCCGTTTTGAGTAACAAATCTTGCAAAAATTAGGTACTTTTAAAGTTTAAATAAAACAATGTAGAATGAGAAAACAACAGTAACTTAAGAAGCCAAAAATTCAAAAAATGACATCAATTTTAAATGCAACAAAAATTGAAAAAATGACAACGGTAACGCCTGAAAACGACAATAAAATAAATAGACAATTCTTTTCACACAACAAGGTAAAATTATTGTCATGTCCACACCAAAATTCTTTCCATATTTTTTTTTAACTATAAGCAAAATTCTTCATACATTCTAACTTTAAGCAATCATTTATTATATCATTTTCATGATCGTCATCTCTTTCCATCTTTTTTCAAAGGTTCACGAAGACCTGCCAACAAACCATGTCTCACAAGGTTTCGTTATTTCTTTTGACTCGGTCCTCTTTAAATGGCTTTGATGATTTCGTTTGCTAGTTTCATCACCTAGATGCCCTTTGGGTGATTCGTCATAAGAACGTTTTCTTTATAATACATATACATATACATATTATATATATATTGTTATGAGTTATAGGATTTTTTGGGTTATTGACTCTTTACCTTAACCTCACATTAGTTATGGACTAAACATTTTGTTTTCTATAAGCTCATAAATAAGAGCTCCATATCGTAATGACTAAATGAAAAAAAATATATATATATCAATTAATATGACCTAAATTCTAAAATTTAATATATACTATATTTAGTGTCAAATTTATTAAAAAATAAACATATGAGTGACATCAAAGAAATATAAAATGGTTATCCCACAGTAAAGAATTGTAGCTAGCTCAGCGTCACTTTTGAACACTTCAAACATCCGGTGAAAATTATTGGTTGTATTTGGAGTTGTTTTTGTTTTTATTTTTTACATTTTTTGAGAAAGAAAAAATGAAAACGGGAGAGAAACGGCGTTTGGCCCAATTAAAGACAAAAAAAGAAATGAAAATGATTGTTTAGTTTAGTGTAAAATGAGAGAGAAATGAAAAATAACTTTTAGTCATTTTTCATTTTTTATTTTTGTTTTCTCCTATCTCAAGTAGAGAGGGACACATTAATGGATTATTTTATACTAAAAGTAATATCTTGATAAAACTATCAAACGCATTGTCAAAAATGATTTATGTCTGAGATTGAAAACGTTTTCATTTCTATTTTCATAAAAAAAATAAAATCATTTTAAAACGAGTTCCAAACGCACTCATTGTCTTTCTACTTATTACAAAAGCATTTACTCTCGAATCTTCAATCATAGTTACCTCCAAAGGCTTAGGGCTTGTCTGGTTCAACAACTTAAACTGTAGATATTTGAACACTTTTAGTTAGAATTGTAGAATTTGAATTGTGGTGATTCAAACTGTGATCTGAACTGTTGTTTGGATATGTAAATAAATTATAATTTGAATTGAAAATAAAATCTGACTTGTGTTTAGATAAAGTGTTGAAAATTATCGTTAGAGTTTTATAACAAATCTTATAAAATCTCATTATAAATAACATTAAAAAGTATGCAATATAGGTGGTGATTTGTTCCTCTCTCCATTATGAACACATTAAAAAAATCATATGAATCGAAATTAAAATGAAGAAGTTATAACATTTTTAAGATTAAAATTGAAGAGAGAGAAAAAATAGAATTTAAAACTATTGAACTGTTGACCAATTTGGATTGTTAGAATTTAAAGGTGGGAGATGAATTATGAACTCAATAATTTGAGTTGTCCTTAAACCATTGTTAATAGTTTGAATTGTTCTTAAATTTTCTTCTCCTAAACATCAATTTGAATCATGAATTAAGATTTAAATCCTAAATAACAATTTGAGTTGTTAAAATAAATATGGGCTAAGCCTTTGAACACCACACGTGGTTTGTCTCTCGCAGCTACTATCAACAAAAGGCCAACCGCATCTGCATCTGACTCAGTCCCAAGAAAAAGATAATCATTTGCAAGACTTCACATCTTTAAAAGCTTTTTTTTTTTTTCCTCCCCCAATTAAGCAAAAAAAAAAAAAAAAAAACATTTTCAAGACCTCCCATTTTTAAAAACTTTTTTTTTTTTTTTTTTTTTCTTTTTTAAGTATAAGATCTACCTCCTTGGTAAGTCGTTGGTATTTAAACACCATACGATGTTATGTCCCAACAAACACATTCAACCACCCATCACAATATTTATATTGATATAGGTGTGAATCTTAGAGGTTTTAATGTTGGTGTTGTAATATATATTAGAAAAATAATATACTGTTGAATTATATTGAAAATTTAAAATGAAAAGTAAAAACGTACATTTACAAACTGACTATGAGCTAGACCCGAAAACCATATAACGACCCTCTCAAATGTATGGTTTGTGTATATCACTTTTGTGGCGAATTTCAGAAATATGATATGCAAAGGAAAAAAAAAAAAACATTGAGATATTTGTGAATAACTAGTTTTTTTAGAAACGTTTTCAGTTAAAAGGATAGATGAGGTAAAAACAAAAAAAATAAAAATAAATCAAAGTGGTAGAGATTCTAACATTAAATAAATTATGGTACAAATCTTAACTGTGTGGAGTATGTGGCATAGTATATAGAAAGGATAGATGAGGTAAAAAAGAAAAAAAGAAAAAAGAAAAAAAAAACAAAGTGGTGAAGATCTAACGTAAATAAATTATGGTACAAATCTTAACTATGTGGAGTTTGTGGCATAATACCTAAATTTTCTCTTATTGTTCAAATCTAGTTTTACACGGGGGCTGGGCTCAAGTGTGGGCTAACTAGGCCTAAATGTCGGACAACGGTCCATTGAACTGAAAGAGCAGACGAAGGAAAGAGCAAGTTGGTAATGGCAGAGACCGGAGCGAAGAGGAAGCGAATGAGCAAGAGAGATGGAGAAGCTGTTTTCCCCAATACGACATCAAATTGCCCTGCGATCAAACCAAAACAAAATCTCCACATCACTCGCCTTAAAGACACCGCCTCAAAGACACCGCCTCAATCAGATCTAGTTTTACACGGGGGCTGGGCTCAAGTGTGGGCTAACTAGGCCCAAATGTTGGACAAGAGTCCATTGAACTGAAAGAGCAGACGAAAAATTTCCATATTTCTTTTTTTTTGGTATGGGCTTTAGTATATATACACCGAAAAATCAGTTCTTCAAATTTATTATTTTGATAATTTTTAGGAACATAATTTGGTTGAATTTAGTTTCTCAGAATACCGTAATGTGTTGCTGAATTTTTCCATGTTATAATAATTGTTAGTTAGAGGTTCAGGTTGAAAATTTTCTGTCATCAGCTGAATCAAAAGCATTCGTGAACGCTGTAGAATCTCTTGGTTTTGCTCAAAAGGCGAGGCTTATGCATATTATATACAAAATCGTGTTTTTTTCTTTTTCTTTCTTTTCTTTTTTTTTTTGGTATGGGCTTTAGTATATAGACACCGAAAAATCAGTTCTTCAAATTTATTATTTTGATCATTTTTAGGAACATAATTTGGTTGAATTTAAGTTTCTCAGAATTCAGTAATATGTTGCTGAATTTTTCCATGTTATAATAATTGTTAGTTAGAGATGTTCAGGTTGAAAATTTTCTGTCATCAGCTGAATCAAAAGCATTCGTGAACGCTGCAGAATCTCTTGGTTTTGCTCACCAAGGGAGTTTGGGGCCAGCAAAAGGCGAGGCTTACAGAGATAATGATCGAATCTCAGTGAACGACCCTGTTCTTGCGGATGCAACATGGGCTTCTTGTCTTAGCCTATTGTTTTCTGATATTAAAATTCGTGGGAAATCAGCTTTTGGCCTGGATCCCAATATCCGATTCTACAGGTATTACATTAGATAGACAAGAGAATCCATATATATTCATTGTTAATGGCAAAAAAAAACTTGGTTACAAAAAGTTGGCATATATTAGTGCATTATGGATCAGAATATGTGTCTTCTGAGTAAGCCTTCTAGTGGTTTTTTTGTCAGATATTCAAAAAAACTTTAGCAAGGTAGTGATTCAGAAGATAATGATCGAATCTCAGTGAACGACCCTGTTCTTGCGGATGCAATATGGGCTTCTGGTCTTAGCCAATTGTTTTCTGATATTAAAATTCGTGGGAAATCTGCTTTTGGCTTGAATCCCAATATCCGATTCTACAGGTATTACATTGGATTAGGAAGATTTACACTATGGACTTTATGATTGACCCTTTGTGAAATTTTGCTCCTTTTTACCATTATGTTATTGTTGCTACGGATTAAGCGCACTAATCCTTTATTAACGAGAGCAATAATATACAAGATAGACAAATACGCAAAATTTTTAGCGGTTTATTATTAATTTGACAGTTACATTAATTAAGAAAAAAATGTGACAAGAGAATTACATTTTTCTAGTCTTCGAACTCACCATATTTTTCTCTAATCTAATATCAAAGCTAGCGCTTTCGTAATGTATGTATGAATAGAGCAGCTCGAAAGGTCGATCCACATACTAAGCTTGCATACACCTATAACATTTGTATTCATTTTGTACGTGAGGAATTTTCAGGTACAAGGTTGGTCAGCGCTTTGGTAGGCACATCGATGAAAGCGTTCATCTCGAGGACGGTAAGCGCACTCATTACACATTGTTAATATATTTAAGTGGGGGTGTGGCCAAAGGTAAAAACGACAGAAAAAACGTCAAGGACTCTTCTTCAGAGCCTCTAGTAGGAGGAGAGACGGTCTTCTATGGCTCGAGGAATAGTGTTGTAGCTGAGGTGAATTTGCTTACATTTGTTTTTCTTTTTGTTAGTCCATTTCTTTTGTGTGTTCTACATTGTACATCACTTTTGGAAGCTCCTTCTGCCCTTTTAGATTAGCTCTAGTTTTATGGTCCTATTTGCGGATTCTGATTATACCATTCATGTGACATGAAATCTGTAGGTGGTGCCGACAGAAGGAATGGCTCTTCTGCACATTCATGGGGACAAATGTATGTTGCATGAAGCGCGGAATGTTAGTAAGGGCGTCAAGTATGTTTTCCGATCAGATGTAGCATTTGCTTGATTATTATAATCAGAGTTTGGAATTGAATTTCACTTTAATAATCTGTCTTTTATCTTTTTTCCCCCCAACTTTGTCATCGTTGATAAGATACTTGATTTGATATGTTTTTGTTGACCGAGTGGTATATAAGCCTCACAGATCACCATTCATCACCCTCAATTCTTGTTACATATTGTGATACTTTTGCTCAGAAACTTTCTAAAGAAGAATCTTTGCATGTTGTAACAACTCTTTATTATTCTTGCATTATATTACAACATGTTTAAGGCTTTTTCACAGCTAGTCTTAGGCTGTATTACACCAGCTAGCCTTTTTAGTTCCCGGAAAAGCTTAGACCAATAAGATAATTCGATAACTCAAAACTTGTAATTTTGTTGAAGGGATGTCATTTTTTTTTTGGGGTCTAATATTGGTGTCTCATTTGCTGCCCAATTACTAATACGTTCTTGTTCTATTAGTTTGAAATTTGAATTGAATCATCTCTTGAAAAGTACTTTAAATTTTGGATGCGAATTACTACTCTAGTATTAAAATTAATAGATGCTTTTTATATAATTGGTACTATGTTGATTAAAATTGTACGTGCATGAATATATTTTCACACTTCATATGGAACCTCAAACGCATTAACTCCATCCTCCGAAGTACTAGACACTGAGCGACTTTTTCTCTCCAATGACATTGAAAGAGAGAAGTGAGAACTGATACCTCCACCTTAACATCAACAATATTAGGCTTATTGACCCGAACGTGGAAGTAAATTCCTGTCAAATTCGTTCTTTGTTGTGTCCATAAGGGAAAGTATACAAATTTTGTCAAGATTTCATTGATCTTATTCACCATGTGAACACTCCTGAAAATTTGAAAAAAAAAAAAAAAAAAAAAAAAAGCTATAAAGTTCTTCAATGCTTAAGTACTCTTCAATCCGTTTGGATTAAGAAGTCTTATAGATCTTGGCATATGCTATACTTAGTGCTAAATTTGTTATCAAGTATAAGACCTTTTCCAATGTAAATATTAATGTCACTGTCATATTTGGTGGCAAAAATTGTGAGTGACATTTTATATTTTATTTTTATTTGTGTTCTAATGCATAATGCTATTTGAAATATTAAATCTATTTTTTTTATCATAATATTAAACTTCAGAAGTTGTAAAGCTAAACTTTTAATGTTAAAATAATTTCAAAGTGTTGTTGTTGTAATGGCTAAATAAAACACAAATAGCGAAACCACATGACATAAACATTTCTCAATGGTTACCTCGTGGCTAATTGTTACCTCATGGCCAAGAACCATAGCTAGCTCAACATATCGCTCTTGAACACTTCAAGATGTCCCGTAAAAACGACGATCTTGCCACTCAGTACAGAGAAGACGTTCACCCTTGTGTCTTCAAACCCTAATTGCCTCCCATGTTAAGCCTTCAAGAAATGAGATGTGTATCCAAGTCCCAATCCCGTTTTCACAATTTCATGTTTTTCATCCACTCTATCCTTTCACGGTCATCTTTTTCCATCTCTTCCTTGAGAGGCATAGAAAAGCCGTCCAACGAACCATATTGCACATCATTCCACTACCTCTTTTGACTCATGATAATTATAGGAAATAGAGTTGTTTTCCCAATTTTTGTGCATTTAAATTAGTTATGTCCTTGAGATTTTAGTTATTTTTTAATTTAATTGTGTATTTTTGTTTTATTTTATTTTATTTTTTTTGTTTGAGTGCAATTTTGCTTTATGTTATTTACTTTGCCATTTATTTTATTATGTTGTTACTTAGTTTCCTTTTTAAAAATTATGGGCCCGTTTGATAACGCTTTTAAAATGATTTTGCTTTCAATACAAAAGTAAAAATGAGATTGTTTTGAGAGTTATTCATTCTGTGACTGATTCTAAAATTATGTTTGATAATACGTTTGAAATTGCGTTTGATATTTAGTTTCCTCTTTAAAAATTATAAACCCGTTTGGTAACGTTTTCAAATTGATTTTGTTTTCAATACAAAAGTAAAAATGAAATTGTTTTGATAATCATTCTGGTGCAAATTCAAAAATTGCGTTTTATTGGTTTTTTAAAAGATTGTTTTGAGTATAATAAAAAAGTGAAATCGTGTTTGGTTATAATTATTAATTAATATATTATAACATTGTTGATATGTACTAAGAAAGGAAAACAGAAAAGGGAAAATAACTTTTAACCGTTTTTTAATTCTTTCACAAAAATCATTCTCACTGTTTTTTGTTTGCATTTTTATTTTCAAAACATTTGCTAAACAAACACGGTTTGAAGACCGTTTTCATTTTTGTGTCTCAAAAAGCGTGAAAAAACGTTTTAAAAAATAAACAAAAATTAATTCTAAACACACCCTATATTTTCTCCTTTGTGTATTCAAATTAGGTGACAAGGGGACTAAAATGTTAACTCGAGCAAAGTAAGGGCGAAAATGTAGAGAAAATGTTGCAAAATTTGAATTTGGAATCAACCCCCACGAAGTCCAAATGTGCGAGTGGAAAAATGTTTAAAACTCTCCATCTTGGTTGTTGGATCGGCTCGGCTCCACCAGATTCACACATGACGTTCACGCCTGACGCGTCTTCAGCAGTCCGCAACAACAACTCGCCCAGTCTCCACGTGCTAGGTGTCGCGCTGGTTGGCCACACTCCCGGCGAGCCCATTCCAGTGCTTCGCACTCACTTCAATTCCGTGGGCCTACGTGGGTGCTCCTCTCCTAATTCGCCACGTCACTCCAACAGTCCTCTACCCAGTCATAGCGCGACAACTGTCCTTCATGGCAGCCCTAAAAGCTGGCTCATTTCTTCTGCTGAGCGTGGATTTGATGGGGAATTTAAAAAGTCAGCCGCCATTCATACAGGAGACCTCCCATTGGCATTAGCTCAGCACAGTACCAAAAAAAAAAAAAAAAAAAAAACAGATTTAGGAGAGCTAGAATGAAGCTTTTAAAGCCATTTTTGGGAGAGAAAAATATAAAAAAATATTTTATTTAGTTTTAGTTTAGATTTTATTTTATTTTCTACATATTCTTAAGAGGAGGACATCTTAAAGGATCACTAAAAGAAAGAGGAAGAAGATGGGAGAATGAGCTTCAATTGGGTTTTTTTTTTTTTTTACCATTTTCTTATCTCTTCATTTTTGCATTTTTAGGACGTTTGAACTTTGTATGTATTTACTTTTGTTATTTGAGTAATTTTTTTTATTCTCGGGATTTGATTAGTCAAGTTGTAATTATGAAATTTTCCTATTTTGAATTATTTATGATTTATTTTCATTTTGTTGAGCATTTATTCTTTGCTTAATGTTTGTGAATAATTGGCTAATATTTGCATGATCTGGGAATCAATTTGAGATTGGGAAGTGACTATTGATTTAGCCAATAATTGAAATGCCATAAGTACTTGTAGGATAGGATATACCTACATTATTGAGTAGTCTATTTTGAGTTTCCTTATTCGTAATGAATTTTGAAGGTGAAAAGGTTTTCATGAGGATGTAGGAAACCCACTTGTTGGGATACTTTGTTAGTGCTCGGAAGAGATTAACAAATAGATTAGAGAGACTCAAATATCAACGATAGTAATAGATTTAATTAGTTAATTTAGGAATTTCACTTAGAATTAGTTTGGTGAATTGAATTCCCTAAAACATAATTTTTATTGTTTGTTTACTTAAATTTATTTTTCTTTAATTATTCTTATTTTTATTGGTTGTTCAAATAATTCATAGAGTTAATCATTTTAGTACAAAATTTAAATTAGTACAAAATTTAAATTAGCACAATCATTATGGGATTAACCGTTTTATTCACACATTTTATTATTTAAGGCGATGCATATAGTTGTGCAAAATTTTTTCCATCAACTCAATCCTCTTTTGAAGAGTGTCGATTACGTCATTTGCCCTTTTATCACCCGTGCGCTCTCAAGGTGCTTCTTTGAAAAAAGAAAAAAATTCTCTTCTAATATGTCTTAATGAGTTATTGGGATTTGTTGGGTTATTAGCTATTTAGTTGAGTCCCGCATTGGTTGTGGACTAAGCCTTTTTGTTTTTGCAGCCTTATAAATTAAAGCTCAATAAGATTCATTCTAATCATCATGAAATTAGAAACATTTATTTCCTAATTATAAGTTGTGTCTTTCTTTTAGGAATTCGAAAATTATTTGGAGTAATTTTTCTACAGAACCACGGACAGCTTAGAATTGGGTGTTCAACCATAATTAGCTCTCATATTAAGCCTTCAAAGACAAGTCTCCCCTATATCCAAGTTTCAATCCATTTTTTCCTAATTTACTCTATTTCATCCATTATATTAATTTCACGCGCACTCATCTATTTATGTCTCCTCCTCAAGAGATTAAGGAAAGCCCTCATATAAAACATATCGAATAGTATTCCACTGACGTTTTTTACTCAATGCTTTTTAAAGGGAGTCGATTATCTCGTTTTCTATTCTCATCGCCTGAAAACTTTCGGGGTGATCTGCCGGAACAATTTTTCCCTTATAACTTGTAATAATGAGTTCTCTGAATTTTTGTCTTTTATAAATAAGAATCCATCTTTATTTAGCAATAAGATTGTTAACAAAGAATTTTTCTTGGGGTCTTTGCTACTTTTGTGTGTAGGAGATTTGGGAATATTTTGGGATTTGGGTTGTGAAGGTTTTGGCAATAAGGAAATTTATTTATATATTTTTGTAATCCCCTTGTTTAAATACTGAAATTTCAAAACTAATGAGGTCTTTCATTAGATTCTTAGAGAGATTCTTACGACTGAAAACACTAAATGCAAGATTGATGAGGTGATCAAAATGTCAGATTAATTTTGTTAATAACTTGTACACATGAGCGGCAAAAGATTTCTAAAAGTGATATTTTCATGTTTATACCATGCATTTTTAGGTTATCTAAAAATTATACCTTGTATTTTAGACCACATTACTTTTATAGCTATTTGAATTTTGATCATTTATGCTAATTCTTATCAATTTGACCACTATAAAGATGAGGGCTTTGTAAAAATGACTCAATATGAAAGTTTTATTAGTAAAATAATTTTTTTAAAAATTTTTATTTGTAAAATAACTACGGAACGATCATGAATGATCACTTTTTACAAAGAACGACCGGGTGATCATTCTTCATAAAAAATTAAGAAGATTATATTACCAAATTTACTTTATTGGATAGTCATTGTAGCAAATTTCTCCCATAA